TATGTCAAATGCCTTATTAATGTACCTATAGCAGATTTAGGTTCTTTAACAAAATCTACTTTCCCTTTTTTGCAAACTTGTAAAATATGTTAATGTAATATTTTTTTCCTCTGTATTAAAATACCAAGCAATCTTTTGGCACAGGAGTCTGAAAGTTTTTTAATAAAAGGAAAAGCTTGCTACTTTTTAAATCAATGTTTACTATAAAAGAAATACCTGAATCCTTTTGATTTGTTTTTTTATACTGTGATATGATCTTAAGGACCTTTAAAATATGGCTTACGCATACTGCAAATAAAATATTTCCCATCAATTTATCAAATGACCTGAGAGTGAGTTTCTTTACAGCAGCAGCTTCCAAACTTTTCTATATCCCATACCCCTAGAATACTTTTGATATATTCTCGCACATCTTACAAAAGTTCGAAATAACGGCAATGAATTATGCATATACACTATCATTTTGAAAACCCAAGTTTTCACATCCCCAGTTGGGAACCCCTGCTTTACAGCATGTGTGCATTCATATATCTCTTCTTTCCCACTTAATACTGAGTTCTTTCTTTTCTTTAATCTGTCTTGGGTTTTGTTTTGTTTTTTTGTTTGTTTTTTAATTGTCTTACTTTTGCTTCTGGATTCCTTTGAAACTGTCCAAAATTTCCCAGCTGTTACACTGAACAGCACATGATGGCTGGGTGCGTATCTGCCTGTGAGAGTTTTTCTCTATTGTGGCAAGAATCCAAATTGTCTAATTTTTTGGAACACTTGCTGAAAGTATCTTGCATTTAGACTTGCACTGGAATGAAGATTGGAATTGTAGAAATGATTTCTTATAAATCTTCACTCCAAAAGCAAACACTACTGTCATGCATATCATGTCTAACAATGCAAAGATCATTTCTTTGAAGGACTTGTTTGTGCTGCAGATTAGAAAAGATAAAAATAATCACGGATTTCTTCTGATGAGTTGGAGCAATTCTTTCTGTTGCTTGCATTTTTATATTTCAGTGCAGATGAGAGAACTTTTCTTCTGCCAAAGCTGAGAGTGACACAAAACTTCCCGAATTTTGTTTCTTACTGGCTGCTTGGCTCTCTCACTCTCTCAATATTTTATTTATCCTTTATCTCTCATTTATTGAGACTTCTGGTATTATGAACAAAAAATCAGGTTCAAATTTAAATGCAAATTGAGCTTGTTTATACAAGGCAATTTTGTGACACACATCCATGATCACTAGTTGAAGGCTGGAGTTAAAACTCTGTGCAGCATAAAAGAGGGAAATGCTTCTGCTGTCTGATGTACATGTAGTCCTCAACTTAAAACAGTTCATTTAGAGACAGTTTGAAGTTACAACAGCACTGAAAAAAGTGACTTATGATTATTTTTCACACTTATGACGATTACAGTATCCCCATATTCACATGATCAAAATTCAGACGCTTGACAACTGACTCATGACAATTGCAATGCCCCAGGTCATGTGATTACCTTTTGCAACCTTCTGACCAGCAAAGTCAGATTCACTTAACAACCGTGTTACTAACTATACAATTGCAGTGATTCACTGAACAATTGTCACAAGAAAGATAATAAAATGGTGCAAAACTCAACAAGTGTCTCACTTAACAACATAAATTTTCGGCTCAATTCTGGTTGTAAGTCGAGGACTTATCTGTATTATACCACTTGTTAATAGGGCACTTAGTAATTTGAAATGACATCCACCCAAGAAAATGGTGCCCTATAGTTGCTGTTTCTACCTCTGAAAATTGGAGATCACTATTTAGAATTAGTATTGTAAATTGTCTTCTTAATTTAAACTTCTGTGGAATATCAAAAATTAGTGGCTTCAGTTGTATATCACACTGATCTGTGGTTTTTTTAGGCATGGTTTATTAAATGGAACACAATTATTTATGACAGTTCATCTTCTTTGGAAATTATGCATTCATTTACAACCATTCAATAGGCTGAGAATTGAAGATCTCCATTTATTTCAGAGCAGCCAATTATGAATGCATGGGCCTTGAATTTATCTGCAACTATGTGGACAAAATAATTCAGCATGTTATTTGAAAACTTCTTTTATTAATTTATTTGGTATTTGAAACTTTAATATACAATGTTCTTTTGGAGAGTTTAAGTTAGAGCAAGGATTCTCACACTGTGAGTCAGGACTCCCCCAAAAGGGATGAGAGTGATCACAGTTTGTTTTTAAAAGTCAGAGAAGACATGCAGGCTAAGTGAGAGCAGTGCCAAAGCTGGTTCTGGGCTTGGTTCCCAGTTCTGTCAATGCAATTAGTCAGTTTTGTGGTATCTCAGAGTTTGAAAACTTCTACAGATATATATAGATTAAAGTCAGAATGGGACAATTGACCACAGCTGCCTGGCCCCTCCCACTTCACCCCGGCCTCCATATGCCAGCTGACCCAACGGGGTCATCCCTCCCCCACCAATCCTCCCCCCTCCACTCTTCCCCCGCTGCCTCAGCCTGACAATTCATTTTGGGACAATTTGTCCCTGCCAATTTGCCATGTGGGACAATTAGCCACACATCCTGGCGGCCAATCCACGCGCTGAGGGGTAGACCTCTGCCTTCCCCATTGGACATGGCACACAGAGAGGACACTAGGTGTGCGCAGCAGCCTTGGGTGCTGGGCTTTTTTAAAAGGCTGTATGCTGGGAGGCGGTGGACATGCCTTGGCATGCCTTCCCGGAGGTGGTGCAGTGCCCTGCCACCCCCCCAAAGAGGGCACTGAGCTTCACCCCATCTGACCATGCCCACTGCTGGGGCAAGTAGGCCACTCCTCTCTGCCAGGCGCACCTTCCCAGAGGTGGCACAGCTCCCTGCCACCCTCAAAAGGGAGGGCACTGGGCTCCACCCCACCTCGCCAGGCCCACTTCTCGTCCACCGCTGCACTGCCAGGTTTGGGTGAGCGGGATGCTGCTGAGTTGGTGGCTATGGGACAGAGTGGCTGCCACTGCTGCTGGCTACACTGGCACTCACACCCTCTCCGTCATCCAGATACAACACACATTTGCAAAAACAACACTCCATAACCAACTTCCCACCCACACCCAACCTCCCTCACAAAATGCTCTACCCTTAGCAAACACCATGCCCCCTCACTATGTACACCTTGCTGTTCCCCAAGCACATAACACTACTTTCTGCAGCTGCACCTCCCTATTCCTCTTGCCTTGCCTGAACGTTCAGCCTTTGTGCATGCCCCTTATCTGTCCTGCTCCCTTGCACCTGGGGGTTGCCAGAGCAAGCAACATCAACACACCACTTCCACTGACCTTGAAGTCATTGCCCTGCTCTGCCAAAAATCTTGGCCATTCTTTGAAGAAGAGCCATAGGAGACAGCCTTCACTTCTCACCTGCTTGAGGACACACCATGCTCTGTTACCATTCAGCTGCCCCTCCCTCCGCATTTTCCCAACTTCCCATACACCTTGCAGTGGGAATGTAGATTAGCCTGCAATACTGTATTCTAACCACTGCATCACCATATCATCTGGTGAGATCAAGCTGGTGCACCTTTTCCATAGCAGTTCCGCCATTGTGAAAGAGGTTCACATTGTCTGTCTGTCCATCCAGCCATCCCTCAAATTTGTATAACTTCCCACATAGTGACTCTTGGCAGTGTACATAGTAATAATCAAGTAAAAACCATTAAAACAATCCATTTAAAATAAAAACTAGTAAAAATGGCAGTAAAACATATAGAGAATTAATCTATTAACTGTCATATAGCCATTAACAGGTTGCACTTTACCATGATCCCCAAGCTAGTTGACAAAGTCTTGTTTTAAAGGCCTTCCAGAAAACCAATAGAGCTGGGGCCAACCTCACTTCAAGGTGAGTGATGTTCCACAGAGTGGGACTGACTGCAGAAAAGCCTTTCTTCCTAGGTCCTGCTGAACAACATGCCTTTCCTGGCAGACCTCAAATATCCCAGTCCCATGCCATACAGGGTTTTAAAGATTATAACCAATATTTGATTGGAAGCAAACTGGAAACTAATGCAACTTGCACAGCAGAGGTATAATGTGTGCAATTTGGAGCACACATAACTGCCTTCTGCCGCTGCATTTTGCACCAACTGAAGCTTCTGTAAACTCTTCAAGATCAGCTCTATGTAGAGCACATTACAGTAATCCATTTAGGAGGTGACTACAGCGTGAAGTAGCATTATCTTCTTTCTTGTGATCAGAGCTAGACTTTTGCAATACAGCTGTATTGCAAAAGTCTAGCTCTGATCACAAGAAAGAAGATAATAATGTTTAATAATGTTATTGCTGACAAATGTTATTGGAATTAAGACTGAGATTATACTTAAAGAAACAGCTGGATTACCAACTAAAAACATTTTTAAATGTGCCTCTGCTTAAGTTATTGCTTTTTCACATTGGTATGCTTAAGGCAATACTTTTGTAATACAGAATACAATAGTTAATGTAAAACCAAAAAAAAACCCAGTTTAAAGAAACCTAAAATCACCAATCCAGTGTACTAGGCTTGCTGTACTTACCTCGTTGTCATCCAAACATGGATTTTATGTTTATCCACTGCAAAGTAAAGGCTCCAATACGATTCAGCTTGGAACTAGACTAAGCATCTCTCCATTCCTAAAGCCATTTTTACCTGCTTTTGCAGCAAGCAAGCAGTTACAGGCTTCAACTTAGTTTTTTTCCCCTTTCCCCTTTCCCTAATTTAGATTTGAGATGGAATGTTTCATAGCTCCTCTGACTTAATAGTATTCTAGTACTGACAGACTCTGTTGTATGGCTTATTATTGGTGACATTTTTCTTCAAGTACTGGCACTTTCTTTCTTGCATGTTTGTTATCTTCCCTTGACTTGAACAGGAATAACTGTCTTGTTGTCTTAGAGCATTGCTAACATATAAGCTATCTTTGGCGGGTGGGGAATGACATGCAATACACATGTTTAGTAAAAAAACAAAACATTTCTTTCTCTTTGTTCCTTTCAGTGCACAACAAAGGAGCACCCAAGCAAATAAGAAAAGAGCAATCCCAAACCAGGTACTGATTCATGTTAGGTACTAACTCATGTTTCCTTTCAGCAGATTGTAACTACACACACAGTGCAGTCTATTGAGCACATTAATATATGTAGTTGCAGAAAATTGAATAGGCCTGTGAATATAGTACTGCATAATGTAGGAGATAATATTCTTTCCTTATATCATCTGAAAATGACATGGAAGCAGTTCCAATTACAAAATGTACAAAATCTCCAGCAAGTTTTTTTGCTGTATGTGCTGATTTAAACTGAAGCTGTTTCTGCAAAGTGCATTTCCAGGTTCTTTGAGAAAACAATCAGAAAACAATGCTAGTTATAAAGAAAAAAAATAGAGAAAATAAATAATGCAACCATAATATTCCTTTGAGAATTTGTCAGTCTTGAGATACTTGCATTTTTGATAGCCAGGAATTAGGCACAAAATTGGCAATTTAACTTGTTGCATAATGGTTAGTTGATATACAATATAGAGGACCAATATATATTGATTCTTGTTTGGAAAGAGTGTAATGAAACATTAACACTGTACAATTATAATTAATAGCATGTAACTTTTTTTTCTTTTACTGTTTTTTTTCTACTTTTCCTTTATTTTCCTACCATTTTTATGCTTCTGCTCCTCCTTTCCCCTCCTACTCAATTTATTTGATTTTTTCACTGTTTTGTCCCCTCGTTCTGCTTTTCCTTATTTTGACTGCACAACTAATTTTGCCAACCTCTAAAGGGTGAGATACTGGTAAGTACCTGTATAATATGCTAGCGACTGATACTTAAAACTTGGTGATGGAGATTTTCTTTCATAACAAAAATCCCAAAATAGGCCATCTTGCTGCTACAAACATTGTGCACTTAATTGTACAGAAAAGCAAGTCTCTCCAAAAAGTGTTCCAGGAGATCCAGACATGGGAACTACAGTATAGCTTTAAGCCTAGCTCCTAGTACTAAATTTGTGTGGTTATCAATTTGGCAATGAATGTTGCTCTTCATAGACTTTCTCTCTATGATGCTCAAGGGCATACTAGTTTTCTTTGAAATTGTATAGGTCCCTTCCAACTGTTGTTCTCCCTTCTCCTCTCCTCTACCCTACCCTACCCTACCCTACCCTGTAGGAAAGTGTGCTTATGGAAAAATCCCTCTTTCTGCATGTTTTTGATCTTTATCTTCTTCTGGTGAGTGCTGTTGGTGTGATGGAATGTCAACACATATGCTGTCCACCTCACCAATGCTTTACCAAATAAGGTTTTAAGTCTCAGTTCCTAAGTGTCCCTAATTTTTAATTTAAGATGGGAACATGAAGTTGAAAAATTAGTTCAGGGTGGAAGCTAAGTGTGCTGGTGAAACTTGATTGGTACTTGCAATGTTACTAATTCTGTTAGATGGAATTTCTCTTATGACATTCCTAGTTGCAGCTTAAATTTACCTTTTTGAAAATATCTCAGAATCTTTGTTGTACTTAGAATATAATACATTATTAAGTTGCCGTTTGAAGTCTTAACTTCAGGCAAACACAGGGAATGGCTTAAGGAGCAGTGCAAATGGATGAAGAAAATAACAAGTACAGTGATATTGCATCCTAAGGCTTAAACTGATGAACTGAATTGATAAGATCATTTAGCTGATCTTTGGGAAATGCATTGCATAAGGCCTTTTTGTAAAAGGAGATCTGATTCCCTCAATCTTCTAGTCACAAGGCACTTGAACATTCTCTACACTTGCTTGCCTGTCATCCTCTGCTCACTTACCATTTGAAGAAACAGCGTCAAATGGTCCAGGTGGGTGTCCTGATCAGAAGTATTGTTTCTGAAATAATGTCATTTCATATTTAATGAATGCATATGGTTTGCTTACAATGATGATGGGCTCACAAGCATGTGGCAAATGCTGTCCAGAAATGGAGTCCCCCTTTAGATGTAAATTTAGCTGTGAAAATTTAATTGGTTAGCTTAGATATTTCATGAGATATGATGAAGTTTCTGAACTCTTTTGAATTCTCAATATTTCTGTATAAATATGACCTAAAACATGATCTGTTCTTCAAAAGGTTCTAAAACTAAATAAAGAGAACCTTATTAAATAAATGAGTCAAAAACAGAGTAAGAGAATAGAATAACAAAGATGGAAAAGACCTTGGAGGTCTTCTAGTCCAACTCGCTGCTCAAGCAGGAAACTCTATATCATTTCAGATAAGTGGCTATCCCGTCTCTTTAAAAGCGTCCAGTGATGGAGTATCCACAACTTCTGAAGGCGAGCCATTCCACTGGTTTACTATTCTCACTGTCAGGAAATAATGTATACTTGGATTTCAGTAGACATTTGACAAACTAGACCACAACAAGCATGAGGGAATTCCACACTGGAAGTGGCTACTGGATTGATGGCAGACTCTAACTCCCCCCAGCTTGCTCTCTAGCCTCCACTCATCCATCTTTTTGGTTATCATATTGATGTAGTCACATGGTATTCTTTTTCATTGTTTATTTTATTGTTTATTATTTTATTTCTGTTTTGTTTACATTCTTTTCATTTTTTATTGTTGTAAGCTATGTAGAGTAGCCCCATGGTGAGATAGGTGGCAAATAAATTTAGCAAAACTGGACCTTGAGGTACCCCAATGCATGCTTCCTTCCATGTAAATGTTGTTCCATTGGGGACTATCTACTGAGTGCAGTTGGTCAGCAAACTGTGAATCCATCTAGTGGTAGTACTGTCTATCCCACATTGTCTTAGGCCCAGTACTCTTTATAAATGATCTAGATGAGTGGATAGAATGGTAACTCATCAAATTTGCAGATGACACCAAGCTGGGAGAACAACCAGCACTTTAGAAGATAGGCTCAAGATCCTGAAGGATCTTGACAGGCTTGAACACTGAGCCCTAACCAACAAAATGCAATTCAGTGGTGAGAAAACTAAGATTTTACATTTAGGCAAGAAAAAGCAAATGCACAGGTATAGAATAGGTGGGTCAACAATGGTAGTTATGAGAGGGACAACCACGTAAATATGAACCAGCAGTGTGCTGCAGCTGCCAAAAAAAGCCAGTGCAGTCCTAGGGTGTGTCAACAGGGGGTATTATCATGGTCAGATGAATTGTTAGTATCACTTTTGGTAAAATCACGCTTTAAATACTATGTCTAATTTTGATCACCTCAATACAAAAAAGATATTAAAATCCTGGAAAGTGTACAGAGAAGAGCAGCAAAGATAATAAAGAAAACTAAATAATATGACAAACGGTTGAGAGAGCTAGATATGTCTAGCCTTTCAAAGAGAAGGATTAGAGCAGGGGTATCAAACTGCCGGCCCACAGGCCGGACGCGTCATGAGGAAACCGCGGCCACCCCATTGCGGGCAATGGGAAAAAAGTTCCGCTACGTCGTGCGATGTCACGTGATGACGCGAGTTTGACATGTCTGGATTAGAGGGAACATGATAACTGTCTTCCAATACTTGATGGGCTGTCACAAAGAAGAAGGGGTTGTCTTATTCTCTAGGGGGCACCAGAGGGCAGGACAAGAAGTAATGGGTGAAAACTTGTCCAAGAGAGATACAACCTAGAAGGAAAATTTTTCTGACAATGAGAGCAATCAATCCATAGAATAGCTTGCCTCCTGAAGCTGTGGGTGCTCCATCAGTGGAGATTTCCAAAAATAGACTGTGCCCCCATTTCACTGGGATGGTATAAGACTCTTGCCTTGAGCAGGGGATTGGACTAGAAGACTGAGGTCTCTTCCAGCCCCATGATTCTATAATTCTAGGATTCTATATATTTACATGTGGCAAATGTATGTAAATCTTTGTTTTCAATAACTGTTGTGCCCCTCTTGGGCAGCAATGTGCAACTAAAGATTTTCAATAATTGTTAATCAGCCCCACATGTTAGCTCAGAGCAATTTTAGCCCATTCCTCCTTACAAGAAAGCTTCAGTTCAAGGATGTGGTAGGCTTCCTTGCATGAACTGACCACTTCAGATCCTTCCACAAAATTTCTATAGGAAATAGGTCAGGACTTTGACTTGGCCATTCCAAAACATTAGCTTTTTTCTGCCTTAGTCATACAACTTGTATGCATTTGGGCTGTTCACTTGCTGCATGATCCACTTCAAGTTTCAATTCACAGTTACCCTGACATTTTCTTGCAGAATTTGCAGGTAAAATTCAGAATGTGTAGTTCCATCAATGCTGAAGCAGCACAAAAGCAGACCAGAGGCCCAAACCATGATACTGAAACCACCATGTTTCACAGATGGGATAAGGTTCTTATTTTGGAACACATTTTGACAAACAATACTTTTCATTCAAGCCCAAAAATTATCTATTGGTCTCATTTAGTCACAGAACATTCTTCCAATAACCTCCTGGTTTATCCATGTAGTCTTTTGCAAACTGTAGATAGGCAGCATTCTTTTCGAGAGTAGTGGTTTTTTCCTTGCAACCCTGCCACATGTCATATTCCAGCTGAATAAGCCCAACCAAGCAAAACACTAGAGACATGATGAACTCCAATGCTAACTTTATTAGGCAAAAAACAATCTGGCAAGTTTGAAGTAAAGCTAAAGCTATGGCAGAAAAAAGATAATTAAAAGAATAAAATTTCCCCTCCCCTCTCTGACAGTTCAGGTCACATTGTCCAATATATCTTCTGGCAATTGTTATGAAAAGAAACTTTAGTTAGACAAACAACTCTCCAGCTCCCACATTGGTAAGGAGCACCTGTGGATTCAAACTTTCCCCTCTCTCCTTCCTGCACTGTTGGCAAGCTAAGAACATGCAGCGGTCCTAAAGACAGCAGGCTTTGCAGCTTGACACCATGGTTGTTCAGTGTTCTCCCAAAAGAGGTCTCTTGAACACTGACATTCTCTGGTACAAAAGAGGCCTTTAGTTATTTAAAAGTAACCTGGGCTTCTTTAAGGCCTTCAAAAATATAAATGCTTTGCTCTTGGTGATCTTGATTGGTCAGCCACTCCTGGGGAGGGTAACAATGGATGTTAAATTGCATA